GAATTTGCGGGACACCCGGTATGTAGGAAACATAGCGCGCGAAGCGGCGCGACGAGCGGCGCGAATGGAGGCGCGCAACCGAAGTGCGCATGTGCGAGAGTGGGGAATGAAGCGATGTGCGAGATCCGGCAGCGAGACTCGAGGTCAGTCGGCGCGAGGCGATAGTTGAGAAAACACGTTATTCCGTTGTACAGTTAAGACCCGCGAACGGCGCGTGATCCGAAATAAAGTAGTTTCTTGTAGTAAAGAGTTCGATTCGGAATAATTGTTCGAATCTGTAGAATAGCCCAAGGAGGCACAGTTTGTGATAAATTCCACAGTCATTAATTATTAATGAATACGTTTATTTTATAATTCAAATCAGTGATCTTTCATTTCGATTCCGAGACCCGAGGTGTATTCTTCCACAGGATCTTCAGGCTTAGCAGCGCTCGGCGTTCCAATTCGAGAAAGATTTCCTTCGACGAGGTGATTGTTCCGGCGAGAGGTCACAACCAGGGAGTCTCGATATTCTCGGCCAACCCAGATCGTGTAGCGCCCGTCGAAGCTTATTCCTTGCTGTTTGGAGGGTAAAAACAGCTGGCGACCGTTTGAAGGACATAAAGTTCCAATTCAATACAAAGTAACGTAAGTAATAATCCGGCACGTCCGGTCACAACCTAACTTGACCTTATCTCCCCCCTACCACAAATTTGCGCGATAGAGACAAAAATAGACGTTTCGTCGAACATTTCTTATTACGTCCGATATTTCTCGATCGATCGTTTCCCGCGTCCCTCTCGACCCGCGCGATGTAGACGATAACTGTTCTCATCCTAGCGATAGCGCCGCGACGACCGCGACGCCCGTCGACTCGGAGAAGAGGGAGGCGCTCCGCTTTCTGCGCGCGTACAGTTTTCTGAAGGACGATGGAGGATCGTTGTCGTCCGACAACGCGACGTCTCTGCGTCACGCGCTGTCGCTGTTTCAGGAATACTATCAATTATCAGGAAATGATGCGTTAAACCATGATACGCTTCGTCTTATGCGCAAACCGCGATGCGGTCTCGCGGACATTCTCGGTCGCGCGTATAGCCCGATCACGCGAAAATGGCCGAAAACGCGTCTCACGTAGAACTTTCAAGTGGCTAGCGAAGAACTCTTAAGAACGGCCGAAGCGGCATTCGCGTTATGGACGGTGAATTCGTTAACGTTCGCGCGCGATCCGCTACATCCCGATATACTGATATCGTATCGAACGGGCGCGCACACCTACGCAAATCGTCTGAGCGGCGACATTTGCCCGGCGGCCTTCGACGGTCCGGGTGGAGCCCTCGCTCACGCGTTCTTTCCCTCGGGAGCAGCCGACTTCGCGTCGGAGGTGCACATCGACGATGCGAAACCGTGGCACGTGTATCTGAATAAAAATCCTCCCGATACGTGTCATTTGCTACAAACGTTGACGCACGAGATCGGCCATACGCTAGGTTTACAGCACAGTGTGCGCAACGACTCGATAATGTTCCCGTATATACCCGACATCGAAAATCAATTTCCGGTTAAGCTGAGCATAGAGGACGTCCTCGCTATACAGAATCTGTACGGGTCTCACGATGATGGAAATTATCCAACGATTCCTACAACCACCATAGCACCCGCGACGACGACGAGCGTCGCGCCGACCGACCCCGCGCGCGCGGATCTCTGCGCGTTGCGGCGCATAGATGCGGCGTTAATAATGAATCGTCGCTTGTACATAGCTAATCGCCGCAACGTATGGTCGGTCGACATAACCGAGAGACGCTACGGTAGACCCATGAAGTTGACGGATTACGCGACGTTTCTTCCGGCGAATCTCACGCGCCTGTCCACCGCGTATCGAAGACCATCGGGCGATCTCGCGCTATTCGTTAACGATTCGATCTATGTCGCGGAATATCCCAGTTTTAAGCTAAAACCTGGTTGGCCGAGATCTCTCCACGATATCGGACTTCCCCGAGACGCTAAGATCAACGCCGCGATAAACACGCATACGGGACGAACCTACGCGATCTACGACGACGACAAAGTAGCGGAGATCGACGAATGTCGCATGATAGCCGTTAGACACGCTCCGTTGAAAGATATATTTCCAGGAATACCGCCCGCGATAACATCGGCCTACCGACACATCGACGATAACCTATATTTTTTCGCAAAGCGTCAATTCTACGCGTTCAA